CGGCGCATCTTCCTATGTAAAAAACTCAATTTCGATTTTTTTTTGAAAAATTGGGTTTTCTAAGGGGGGGGGGGGCGGGCCTTAATTGGATGTCAAGTTACAGTTAGTTGACATAAAGATTATTTATCTCGAAGAGATGAAGATGATTTTTAAAAAAATTTAAAAAACCTTTTAATTTTATAAACCATGTTAAATATACGACATTTGAAACAATATGTGATGAAAAATTATCTAATGAGAATAGTAACAAAAGTTGACGGGATATTATATCAAGAAAAACATTATCTCCTATAAATATTAAAGAAAATGAAGCAGAAAAATCAATTCTTTTAATTGATGAAGTTGATGTATTTTTTAGCACATCAATTTGGTAAAATGTTTCATCCAGCAGTTATAATTAAGAATAAACATATTGATGAAATTCAAAAAGATATTTGGGAACACATCATAACTAAAGAATCTAATAAAAATAAATTGAAAAATCTTATTGAGAAAAAATTATTTAGTTCCATTGATAAAGATAAACTATTATTATCTTTATCACATTTGAATCTATTAAAATATCATTTAGAAGAGCTGATCAATACTGTTCTAAATATTCATAATAATATAAATAATTTTAAAGATAAATTTAAAATCAGAGATAATGTTCTTTGTGCTAAAAATTCAGATGGAATGTATTCTTCAAATACTTTTTTATCAATATGAAAATAATTTTTAGTATTTAAAATCAATGCATGACAAACAAAAATGTTTTTAAGTTATTTTAAATGAAAATAATTTCGGATATATTGTGATTTGTTATGGGATTATTTCTTATTCCGAATTACCGAATTCTTTTAATGGAATATTTAGTGTTAGTGAAAGTTTAAAAGATTTATCTGATGCAGAAGAATCTTTATTAAAAAATTATAATATTTATAAAAGAGTAACTTTATGAACGAAAGAATTTGGACATGATGTTGGTTTTCAATCAGAAACAAAAGTTAATGGAAAAGATCGTATTCATATTATTAAAACATTTTTTTTCTGAAATGTATAGAACATCTTCAAGAATCTGAATTAGTAGAAGAACAAATTTCTAAATATTAAGATATAACAACGGATACAAAACTTATAATGAATTAGATAGTCGATGAAACGAAAAAATTAATTCTTTTTGTCAAAATAAATTAAAATAAATTGAAAAAATCAAGAAATTCATAATCAT